ACTTTTTTCATGTTATGAAAACCTTGTTCTTGTAAATAGTGTAACCATATTATTATTTTACTACTCAGTATCCGCCCGGAGTCCCTTCAGGGATGATAGAGCGGAATATAAATAAAGTTTTAGTGTGAGAAGGCCTCAGTGGGAGAAGAGCCTCAGTGTGAGGTAGGCCTCAGTGTGAGTAGGCCTGGTGTGTGAGAAGCTTCAGTGAGAGAAGCCCCAGGATGAAGGCCATCATGCGTGAAGCTACAGTGTGAAGGCTGCTGTGTGTAAAGCTAGTGTGTGAAGCTCCTGTGTAACTCTGGTGTGAGAGGTGGCTCTGCTGTTTATCTGCATGAGAAAGAATCCCAGCACGGAAGCAAAAAAGGAAGAATAAGGAACTTTTTTCATGTGACGAAAACCTTGTCCTTGTAAATAGTGTAACCATATTATTATTTTACTACTCAGTATCCGCCTTGAGTCCCTTCAGGGAGAAAGAGCGGAATATAAATAAAGTTTTAGTATGAGAAGGCCTCAGTGGGAGAAGAGCCTCAGTGTGAGGTAGGCCTGGTGTGTGAGAAGCTTCAGTGAGAGAAGCCCCAGGATGAAGGCCATCATGCGTGAAGCTCCAGTGTGAAGGCTGCTGTGTGTAGCTCTTGTGTAACTCTGGTGTGAGAGGAGAGAGAAAGAATCCCAGCACGGAAGCAAAGAAGGAAGAATAAGGAACTTTTTTCATATTATGAAAACCTTGTTCTTGTAAATAGTGTAACCATATTATTATTTTCCTACTCAGTATCCGCCCGGAGTCCCTTCGGGGAGATAAGAGTGGAATATAAATAAAGTTTTAGTGTGAGAAGGCCTCAGTGGGAGAAGAGCCTCAGTGGGAGAAGAGCCTCAGTGTGAGGTAGGCCTCAGTGTGAGTAGGCCTGGTGTGTGAGAAGCTTCAGTGAGAGAAGCCCCAGGATGAAGGCCATCATGCGTGAAGCTACAGTGTGAAGGCTGCTGTGTGTAAAGCTAGTGTGTGAAGCTCCTGTGTAACTCTGGTGTGAGAGGTGGCTCTGCTGTTTATCTGCATGAGAAAGAATCCCAGCACGGAACAAAAAAGGAAGAATAAGGAACTTTTTTCATGTGATGAAAACCTTGTCCTTGTAAATAGTGTAACCATATTATTATTTTCCTACTCAGTATCCGCCCTGAGTCCCTTCAGGGAGATAGAGCAGAATATAAATAAAATTTTAGTGTGAGAAGGCCTCAGTGGGAGAAGAGCCTCAGTGTGAGGTAGGCCTCAGTGTGAGTAGGCCTGGT